TTTCAGACGGGATAAATGCTTACCTTAGTGAAGAAGTTAGGTAAATTCCGCCTTAAGGGGCCTGGCCTTCTAAGACATGAGTGTTAGAGGATTGGAGGAAATATCTCCATGACATGGTCATTGTGAAAGGTGCAGAGATAACACTCTGAATAGAGGAGTAGGAAGCTAGGCAAGGACCAAGTCTCTGGGGAAAGGCCTGGGGCCAGATGGAACATGATATTGAAGAGGCAGAGAAAGGCAGATTTGCAGGAAGAAACTCCTTTGACTTTGGTGAGTCTTGTGACACAAAGGCAGGTAACTAAAACCAAGTTCTGCTCATGCTATTGGAGGCTGTGTGGGCATGGGCTACACTGAGACTCTTAAGCATCCCAAGGGGCCATGTCCTGGTCCTGTTTCTGTCTGCACCTGGTATAGTAAACACTTCTGTGTTGAATGAATGAGTGAGTGAATGGGTTGGAGACATCATAGAGCGAGCTGGTTCCTGGGAACGTGTCCAGACACTTCAGTTGGGGATGACTTCAAGATGGCAGAGGCAGAAAACAGCTGGAGTCGGCAGCTATATAGATAAGATATTAGGTGTTTTGTTGGCAGTGCCTGCTTCTACTGGGAGCATTCACCCCACAGTACCTTGCCATGCCTGGCGGTGGACTCTGTAACAGTGCGGCCTGAACCTGGCACTGGTGTGTGCATGCCAGGCCATTAGCAGATCTCATTCATTGTGGGTATTCATGTGGAAATTTCTTTCAAGTAATGGATTTTGCAAGGTTTGGAGAAAACTGTTTGAGTGCTTACATGAAAACTGTATTTTCCGTGGATAGTTTGAGCTTTGGTTTGAAAAGAGTAAATGTGGCCTTCTATCTGCAGGGTGTGCTTTCCAGCATTTCCTCAGACTGTAAAGTGACTTGTAATTGCCACTCTTGAGTGAAGCCCTGGAAGAATAATGGTGATTTTCGGGAGTTGGGAGAGTGCTGCCGAAGCCTGGAATGTGTTCACCGCAGCCATTTAGATGCCGGAGGAGCAGATTCCCTCACACACAGACGAGGAGGGGGAGAAGAGAACGGTAGCATTGCTGAGGGTCTGTCAGGGGCAGAGTCGAAAGCAAATTGATGATTAGAAATCTAGGACTCCAGCACAAACCCGAGTTTCGAAAGTCTTTCACTCCAGGGCCAGAGTGTGGCTCAGTGGTAGAGTGCTTGCCTGGAATGTGTGAGGCACTGGGTTCAATCCTCAGCACCACCTAAAAAGAAATAAATAAAATAAAGGTATCGTGTCCATCTACAACTAAATATATATATATTTAAAAAGTCTCTCACTCCAGTAAAATGTAAGTCATGGTGGAAAAGCCAGAGCTTTGCTCTTACTCTGCTGTGGATACAGTGATGGTGTCTGCTCTACCCAGCTCCCCGTGTTCTGGACTCAAAACACTGAATGTCACCCCCTTCACTGCAGTGTCCGTCGCCACCCCACCCCAGGGCCAGTGGTACTCAAGAGCTCTGTGGGAGGTCTCCACCTTCTGAGGGGTCGGTGTGGACTGTGGCTTCAGGAAGCTGCTGGATGTAGGTCTTCCTGGAGCAACAGCCTTGGTGGATTCCTGGTCCATACTTCTGATATACTCTCTCCTTGTTTTAATTTTTTATCTTAAAAGAAGCAAAGCAGCCTAGAATAAAAACAGAGAGCCTGTTCATTGTTCTCCGGGATGCCCTTTCTAGCGCCCCAAAATTAGAAAGACTAACAATTTGGTGTGTCATGCTGTTATTTGAAGTTTTAATTTGGACATAAGGGCCTAGAGCTTACATTTTTGTCATTCTGTGTGTGGGAGCAATGTGAGAACACCATCAAGGTGATCTAAAGGCCTCTGGGGAAACCTGGCTTTTGGCTTTCCCACTGTGAGCCTTCAGAGGCAGGTTCATGGTCCCTGGGCTCTGTACCTACAGGCATATCCCCTTTGACTTGTCTACCATTTAAAAAATGTGTTTGTTAATTGCCCAACACTTGAAAATCGTGACATTTTACATAGAATCAGGGAATCTTGAATAATGAGTTTTCCTCCACTCTCAGGACAACTTCCGGGGGGCAACAGATGTCCACTGGTAAGACCCTGCTGTTTTCTACACCCATGACCCCTCCCTGGTGTCTCACATCGGGCAGCCGTACTCATTTAATTTGCATTACCTGCTGGTCCCTATACACATTTCAGTTTGCCACTCCAATCACTGAGTATTGGATTTGAGAATCAAAAATTATACAGATAGGGTGAGCACATAATCAACTGCCCAACTAGAATTCTCTGAGTAAACAGGGGTGTTGTTAATAATTAACCATGTCATAGGCATAAATCAGGACGGTCCCAACAAACCCAGACATGTAGTCTCCCCATTTTCACACCACCACATTGTGGATTTCCATTGCTTACGAAAGAGGAAACTGAGACCTAGAAAGGGGACGTAATTTGCCCGTAGGAGGTACTGAATCAACTCATGACCTATCTGCCCTAACTATCTTGACTCCCATCCACTGCTTTTCCTAACATAACAGGCTGAATCTAATCCATATCCTCCTGGAATGTAGGGGTGAATAATTACCACGTAACTCATGTCCCATGAGAGCTACAAAGAAAGCTGACATCATCAGTGGCATTTCTGCTGTGACTCTGATTAATGGTTTGGACCACAGAACCTGCAGAGATCTCGAAGCACTCATAGGCTGGACAATGAGAGATCCACTCGGACATACCAATTGTCCAGGCAGGGGGAAAAAAACATAGCAAATGTTCCCCACTAAGTCAGTCTATGGTGACTGACCTGCTGACCAGCGCTGCCCTAGATTCCTTGATTGGCTAGGCCGGGCAGTGAGTGTGAATTGTGTCTGCAAGAGCCATCTAAGATCCCAAATGCCCAAGTCTTTGACCAACCGCCTACGGCCTCACTGTGTCTGCAAGAGATATCCGCAGAGAACACTCGAGATGAGACTGTGCCCACTGTTCATCACTTGCTCAGACTTTGGTCCCAAACCTGTCTGGTCTCCTGCTGTGGGAACTGTGGGGGCCTTGGGGCTGCAGTGAAAGGCTGGCCAGGAAGTCTCCTTAGGGTGCTTCCCCAGGGCTCTGCTTGGCTCCCGCTGGTCCTCCTCAGGGACCCTGAGAGCGGCAGCGCCATCTCACAGATCAGCTGTGTGAGCTGGAGGACAGAAAGAAGGACGCTCCTCTGGCTAAGGCCTAAAGCAGAGTTGGCCTGAGTGACCCCTGCTGTTCCCTTGGAGTAAAAGTCTCACTTTCCCTGCATGGGACCCGGCAGGAGGCATGACCCGGATGCACACTGCCACCTTTGCCTCCCTTCGTGGAGGCCAGCTGAGGAAAGGCCAAGGGAGCAAGGTCCTCTGCTGCCCCACTCTCTGACATTGTGTCCTGGCTACCACGTCCCCCTGGTGCCCTGGAGGTGCCCTTTCCTCTTTGCCCCTGGTCAGAACTTCTTTCTTGTGGAGTGTCTTCTAGAAGTGGGGACTAGTGACCAGCTGTGACTTTTAGACTCAAAATATCAGCCCCCCACCCACCCACACACACAGCAGCCTTTTCTTTAAAGCACTCAAGAGATTGACAGGAAAGAGTTGTTTTCTAAGTGAGCCAAAACCACATGCATGGATTTTATTTTTGTATGGAAACAGGACTGTGAATGAGTGTAAGAAAATGTAGGCTGTGGATTTCCATTGCTGTTTTTTGACCTGGACGATTAGCAGGTCCTTCTGCCTCCTGGTGACCTGGTGACGTGAGAAGCCAGGCTCGTGTTGACTCTTGGTCTCAAGCACACCAGCATTTAAGACATGTCTGCATGTGCCGTGGTCCAAATCACTGGTGAGCCTCACAACAGAAAAGCCATTGACGACAGAAGCTGCTAAGATACAGGCCCCAGAGCTCTGCTGTCCGGTAGCTACGTAGGGTCACAGAATTCTTGAAATGATGATTTGTTGTTGATACTAGTATAAGTTTAAAAAAAATGTTTGAATTAATTTACTTTTACACTTTAAATATAATGGTGTGTGTTGGTGGCTGCACCTCCAGTGGATGGTGCTGTTCTAGAGATGGATGTCATGCCCCTCGGTGAAACAGAATTCAGTTGGATGCTCAGTTGGATGCTCAGGTGGCACAGTGACCTTCCCCATCACAACTCGGAGAGGAGGGAGGTTTGCTAGTTGTGTCCTGGTGCAGAACATCAGTGGCTTAGCAAGGCTCCAGCGTGGGGGTATCTAACAGGCCTCTTCATTTACCTTTATGGGAATCTGGTGAAGGCATCAGAATAGCTTTCTAAAGGTCAGGCTGGTTTTAAAAAGGACTGAGCTCTCTCTTGCCCCTTCTAGCATCTTGTTTCCCGTATGGCTCTTGCCTTCCAGAGCCCCTGTGGGGCACCTGTTCTGACACCAGCCGTTGAGCCTCCATGCCATATCACGCAGAAGGCCCTGGGGTACCTAACGCCAGCTGTGGGTACCATATGGAAAAGCCACGCCATCTACATATGCACAGAGTGCTTCCAGCCAGGAGTGGAGAGGAGTGTGTAGCTGATCTAGCTTTATCTTTTCCTTGTCTTTGAAAATTTTAATCATTGAAACATCTTTAGGCCATAAATAGAATCATGTAGCAAGATAATCCTGAGTTAAAACCAAATATGTACTTCTGTTTTTGTATGGATGTAGGACTGTATGGATGGATGTAAATGTAGACTGATGCAGACGGCTTGGCTTAGCGGGAGGATGGGCAGGGGGGGAGTGAGAGCAGGGGGCATGGAGGCCGCTCCAGCAGAGTCTTTCCTCTGTCTCCGCTTCACTTAGACGACTGCCCAAGGCTGAGGAGGAGGTCCTTCTGTCGACCGAGCCCAGCCGTCGTGATGTGCCTCTCGGACCACAAAGTCGCGGACGGGTGGCCGCGTGGGGATGGCAGCGGGGGCCAGGTTCCGGGCTGCATTTCCCTCTGGAGTAACCTCTCTCCTCCTTCTTTCTTTCCACTCTTCTAGGCAGGACAGGGCTGCTTGCTGACCTCTTGCCCAGTTTTGCTGTGGAGATTATGCCAGGTATTCAGCCATTTAACTCTTTATTTGCCTGATTTGCTGTCACTCCACCTGTCTTGCTTCTGCGTTAGTCACTAATGACTTATTTAATTATTTTCATATTTGTCTGTGTATGTCTGTGAGCTAAGCCCATTAGAAGAGCCTTTGAACTATATTCCTTCTGTTCCTCGTCCCTGAGGTGATAACAGTTGAAGATAGGCTGAGGTGGGGACCCAGCCCCGAGCGTCAGGCACGCAGTATCCTTGACAGTCTCCATGCCTGCCTCAGTGTTCCAGCTGTGCCCCGACAGCTGTGTCCTCCCCACACACAGTCCTCGTCTGATCCCTCATCCCCTATGATGCGTTCACGCGTTCATTATGATATAATCCTGTTCCTCTGAACTGCCTTTTGTAACATTATCAAAGATCTCTTCAAACCCCAGGAGAGCTGTCCACTCCTCCTGCCTTAAAAACAGCCATCCACAGACCTGCATTTCCTGGTACATGGTTTCGTGGGTTCAAGGGCCCCTCGCCTCCCTGGAGGCTCAGGGCCACCGGCCCAGCACACTGATGTAGCTCAGTGCCCCAGCCTCCACCAGCCAGCACCAGTTTGGGGCAGCACTGCGTCTCCTGGTTGATGGAGGCTCAGAGACGCAACGGAAGTGTGGTGAGGAGGCACCCAAATCAAGGGGCAGGAAAAGGTGGGGTTCAGTCTTGTTTTGGAGAGTTTCTGCCATAATTTTAAGAGTTTCCTGAGAACAACAGAGGTACATGTTTCAAGAGACACCTGGAGCCTTCACAGTGAGCTTTACTAATTATTCTTCCATGAATTCTTCTGTCCTTCCCCACCAGGCATTCTTCTTATTGATGTGGTTCCAAGGACACCAAGAGATATCTCTCTGTAGTCCCCCTTGTCCAAAGTTCCTGCAGTTTGAAAGCATTTGTATACACACACACACACACACAGCTACGTGGCTGGGTTTCAAACTAGAAGTTATTTAACTGGGAATCACTGTCTTTTTCATATCTGAAAAAGGCATTTCCTATCCGCCTGAATTTCCCTTCCTCCGATTCCAAAAACCCTTTCACGGTGATACTCTTTTGTTTCTCCAACATAACCTGCCCCTCCGCTCAGCTCATCCAAGCCCTGGCTCATGTCCACCTCGGGCTCCATTGTGCAGTGACGTGAGTGCTGAGGCCAAGGCCGCCTGCTGTCTATGTCTGCAGCAGGGATGCCCCCAGATCTGCAAGCCATCTGCCCCTACCGAGGGACAGGGGGACCTGGGGGACCTGAGTGCGTTTCAGACGGGGAGGCGAGGAGGGACCTTCAGGAGGTACAGGATGTTCGCTTTCTCTCTGAGGAATCATGTTCTAACTAAAGGTCAGATGACTTTGCCATTGTCACAAGGCCCCACACCTCTCAGTCTCCCAACGACATGTCCATCGAAGGACTATTTAGTAATTGAAATTTAAGAAAAAATGGGCACCGAGGCCCAGTGTAAAGGGATTTTTGGTGAGAAAGCTCTCAACTGAAAGGGAGAGACGGCTCCTTCAGTGCGTCCAGGCTCCAGGGAGAGTCGTCCCGTTGCCAGGTCCCATCGCATGCTACTGAGTCAAGTCACGTAGGGCCGCAGTCATTTTTATCGAAGCCAGAAAGAATCTACTTCCTTCCTCTCCATCTCTGAGATGGCAGATGAAAGGGGTTCACGCTCGGCCTGTGCCAAGCCATGAGAGGCCGGAGTCAAACTCCCCAGGCCTCCACTCAGCCTTGCGCTTCGCCAGACCCCGAGAGCCTGCGCCCTGGCCGTGCTGGCTGACCGGCTTGAAGGTGATCACACCAGACCCATTCTCGGGGATGGGGACAGTGCCTTCTCTGCTGGACGCTGTCCAGCCATAAGCAAGGGGTGTGGATCTCAGCCCTGGTGTGGAGTTCAGGAAGGGTGTTCTAGGGCAGTCTGCAGGGAGAGCAGATGAGTGTGCCCAGGCCCTGGACCATCTGAAGATGGTCTACTCAGAGGCCATGTGGACACAGAGGACTGTTTTCGGGGCCTGTATTTTAGAGACAGGATTAATTTGACCATAAAAGGAATTGACAGAGCCCTCCACCTCCTAGCCCAACAGCCCGGCTCCCCTCCCCCGCCAGGACTCCTTCTGCACTTGTCCTGTCCCTATTCTGACGCTGTGGTCAGCTTGGCAAACACTGTCCCCAGTAACAGGCCTGACTCCTCCACCCCATGGCTTTGCACTGCCAGCCCAGTGTGACTCTGCGCTCACTGCAGGGTTCCTGTTGAGTGGGGCTCTGTTCCCTGTCGAGCGCTTTCTCCCCAGTCCCTCCCCCTGACCTCCTTTCCCAGGGACACCCCTTTGGGTGTGCCCCGTCCTGAAGGTGGGCTACCTTGAGTGTGGGTTTCTCTGTGCATCCTTCCAGAGTGGGTGTTTGTGGGCCTGGTGATCCTGGGAGTCTTCCTCTTCTTCGTCCTGGTGGGGATCTGCTGGTGCCAGTGCTGTCCCCATAGCTGCTGCTGCTACGTCCGCTGCCCGTGCTGCCCAGACTCCTGCTGCTGCCCTCAGGCCTGTGAGTAAAGACCCAGGGGAGATGTGGAGTGGTGGAAGAAATGTCCCCTCTCCATCTGACGGCTGTGCCCCGAGTCCTCCTCCACCTCCTTTCCTTCCACTCAGACCCCGCCTTCTGCCGGAGTCCATCTTCAGGGATGCCACTGTCTGCCTGCTCACCCGCTGCCTGCATGCCTCCATGTTTCCATCCACACCTTCACCCAGGCATTAGGAGCCCATGGGCAGTACTGATGGAGAAAGGGCAGGTGCAGGATGGCCATGTCATGGGATAGGCTTTGCCCCTCCTCAGGGCTTTCAAACCAGAGGAACCTTTCCTCATTCTCCTCCCATGCGGAGAACCTCCTCTTTTTAAAAGTGGATGTGCCAACCGTGGCCTTTGGGCACCACCCGGCAGCCACTGATGAGTTTCCCTTACTCCCATGATGAACAGGACTGGTCCTCCGTGGGGATTGATTGTACTTACTAGCCAAGCCCACATAGGCACTGAGCTTGGCCTTCCTACCACAAACCAGACTCCTCCTGGAAGAGAGAGGCACACTGTGCACCTTCAGTGTCTTTAGGGGTAGCCGTGTTGGGGGGCCTCAGGTCATTTGCTTAGCTTTGAGAGTCATCCAGCAAGGGTCACAGGGTCACGTGGCAGCCCCTGGCCTCTTCACCTCTCCAGAAGAGGTTCCCGGCCTCCTGGAGGCAGCCCTGTGCTGGCCTCCCCCAGAGGGCTCAGGCGGTCTGCAGACCGTGGGCTGCTGACCCTGGGGATGCTGCTCTGACAGCTCCCGGAACGCATTAGCACCAGATGCCAGTTCCGCCCGGTGATTCCTGCAGCTGCTCACAGTGTCACTTTTCACTGGAGCTGAAGTGGTCGCAGGGAGAGTGTCCCTTCTGAATCCGCTCAGTCCTCGGAGAAGACACACGTCCAGGAGCTCCCCCGAGAGCGTCCTCGGGGATTCCTGGTGTGAGGGTTGTGGAGGGTGGGACAATGTAATCTCTCTTGCTCTTCGTCTCCTCCACAGTGTATGAAGCAGGGAAAGCGGCCAAGGCCGGGTACCCTCCCTCTGTCTCCGGTGTCCCTGGCCCTTTCTCCATCCCCTCTGTCCCTTTGGGAGGAACCCCCTCATCTGGCATGCTGATGGACAAGCCGCATCCACCTCCCTTGGCACCCAGTGACTCCACAGGAGGAAGCCACAGTGGTAATTGCAGTTCCAGACCGCCCTGCCCCGCCTTGTCCCTGGCCCCGCCCAGCTCCTTGCTGATAAGCACAGTCTGTTCAGTGGTGCATCTTGGGGAAAGTTATCTGCTTTCCAAAAGTGGGGTCCTTCTGGTCATGTGAGGTGTCTTTTGGAGTGCATCTTGGGCTTTCCCAGGCTGGAGGACCTTGCTGACCCTGCTTCCTTCCTAAGCACCCCAGTAACGAGGGCCAGAGAGCTGGGGCACACCTTGAACCTTGTTCAATGTTATTCTGGCCCCGCCTGGTGTTAAGGACCGTCTGAGGCACGTGGAGGGACCGTGTGCAGGATGCAGGCTTCTCTAAAGGCAGCATGGCCTTGTCAGGGACAGAGGATGGGTCCTGATGGTGGCAATCAGAGGCTGGTGTTACTTGGAAGTCAGAGATGAAGGAGCTGGAGTGGTTACAGAGCCTGCAGGGGGAGGCTGGGTTTGGGCTGAGCCCAGAAGTGAGAGGGGTGCTGAGCAGGAAGGCCAGCGTGGTGAGATCCCAGGGCTGGGGGGACCCCTGTGAGGGCTGGGCGGCCTGGGAGAGGTGGAAGGGCATGTGGAGCCGGATTGAGGGGCCTCCCTCGCAGCTCCTCCAGAGGGCTGGGCTGGTACGTGAGTTAGCAGGAGCACTGCAAGCAGAGGGTGGCAGGGGACAAGCGAGTGGGAAGGAGGAGAGAGTGGGGTTGGAGAGGGAGGGAAAGGGGCCTCCGGATGGTACCCCAAGGTGTTCAGTGTTGCAGATCGTAGCTGAGATGCTGTAACTGGTTGGGAGAGGGACTTGGGTGATGATTAGCTCTTTCTGGGACTTGGAGGAGGTAGGTGGGGAGGGGGAGGGGGAGAGGAGAGTGGAGGGGCAGGGGAGAGTGGCGGGGCAAAGAGTGTTAAAATTCAGTTTCCTGGAGGCATCTGGACAGGATTACAGGGTAGAGGAGGTTAAACTTGTGTGTCTAGGAGACTTAGGCGGTGATTTTTAAATTCCTAGATGCGATGAGCCACTGGGGCTGGTGAATCAGACATTTCATGCGGGAGGCTTCTAAGCTGCCTCCAGGGGAGCCGGGAGGGTGCAGCCCAGTTGGTGAACTGCCACCGCCCGACTGGAAGGGGTGGGCAGCCTGGTGAGGAGTTGGTCTTTGTGCTTTTCTCTCCCTGGAACTATTAGTAGAATCCTGACGTCTGAGACTGGGAATGAGTCCCAGACTGAGAGGTAAAAGTTAATGATCAAGGACACAGAGAATCAGAGAGATAAAGACCGGGCAGTGCGTGTCCCCAAGGGTGGGGTGGGCAAAAGGGGCACGAGAGCACCCGTCCCACGCTCTTTATTTGCTGCTTTCCCGGTCCCCCTAATTTCTTTCCCTTCCTTCCCACTGGAACCTTGCCCCTTCTTCCTACTCAGTGGGTCATCACAGTGATTGCAACTCAGAGAGGCAGATCATCCTCTCTCCCGGCCTCAGCCTTTCCTGAGCTCCTGGTCATTGCGGTTTAGTCATTTGGTCCCATCCTGCCACATTAACTGCAATTAGAAGTGGCTTTAAAAATAGAAAACTGAATTATTCCACATAACAGGAAATCTCAAAGTAAGGTGGTGGCTCCAGGTTTGGCTAGTGGACAGGTTTTGTCCACCTAGTGGACAGTTTGGCAGCATCCTTGAAAGAACTAGCTCTTTGCATCTCAGTACTCTCATCCCGAGCGCGCCCTCTGGCCTGCTCAGCTGGCGGCCCTTGTGATCCACGGATGACAGCAATAGTTCCAGTATTAAATGAATTAGAGAGAGAGAGAGAGAGATGCGCTTCATCCTTGTGCCTCATTTCCCAAGAGTGACCAAAAATTCCCAGGAGCTCTTCCCTATCCAGCAGCCTTCCCTGGCAGAGTTGTAGCCCATGCCCATTCCTGAGCCAGATGGGCTTAAACTACTCGATCCTCACTTCAGAGGCCTAAGAAACTATTGACCTTGAGATCAAACACAGTCTGGGTCTGTCAGCCCCCAAACAGCAAAGATGGCCATCAGTGTCCGTCACAGCCAGTCTGGCCTGTGTCATCATCATATCCTGGCACCAGGAATTAGTCTCTTACTGTCCCCATGGACACATCTTATGCTTACGGTCCCAAGGTAGGTTACTGTTGGCCTTTGGCTAATTCTCCTTTAAAAAATGTGGCTTGGGCCCATGTAGATTGTTCTGTAAAGAACACTAAAAATGTTAGGAAATGTTTGTGGGTAAAAATGTAAATTTAGCTTTTTTAGTATTTATATGCCACCTTAGTTTCAGGGTGATCATCTAGCACCAGCGATTTTTCAGATCACCTTTGTGCGTCATGCTCTTTGGAACATTGTGCAGGGTGAAAAGGCCTCTTTGGTGAGCCAGCTAGAGGTCTGGTTGGTCACTGCATGGGGGAGAGAGAAGGGGCCAGAGTCCTTCCCCTGAGCCTCCCAGCAGAGGGAGCAGCCTCCTGCCCCCTGGACCCAGCCTACTGCTCCGCCAAGGGCTCTCTATTGGACATCCACACTCCACCTGCTCCCGCCCTGTCTGCCTCCTTCCCAGCTTCAGTACCTTTCCTGGCAGAAGTCAAGAGGCGCTCGAATCTCACCCATTCAGGTACAACTTGAGAGACATCTGTCCCTGTCCTCCTCTTCACAGAGAGCTCCTGAGCAAGCTTTGACCACTCAGTGCCGTTTCCCTGCTCAACCGTCTCCGCTCACTGTCCCCACCTCTCTGGGGACCAGTCCCTGCCAGGGCACCTGGTGCTCCATCGCTGGATGCTCTTTTGTCCTCACGCCCTGCCCCCTCCTCTCCCCTTGCCCTTGTGGACACTGCAGCCTCCCACCGTCTCTCCGTTCGGGCTCCTCTGCCCCTGTGTCTTCCACATGGTGACGTCCCCGTTTTGCCCACCAGCATCTCCCAGGGAGTCCTCTCTGCTCCCCATCATCACGCTGATGACTCCCAATCATTATCCCCAGCCTCTCTGCGGTCCCATATCCAGTGCCCTGGCCATGTCCACCTGGATGTCTTACAGGCCCTCAAACCTCAGTCTCTGAAACTGGATCAACCCGCTGCCCTCCACTTCAGATCCACACGTCTTACCTCAGTGGATGGCCTCATCATCACCTAGTCCAAGCCACAGGACGCATCCTTACCCTGCCTTCTCCCTCAGCTCATCACCCGTGGTCACTGAGTCCTTCTGATGGTTCTCCACTGGCCTTGGCCTGTCTTGTTTTACTTCTGTGCGGCAGCTGTCCCGGTCCTCACTGCCATGGCCTCCCACCCTGCCTAGTGCTTCATCTCCTTCCTGGCCTTCCCACGTCTCCTCTTGCCCTGTTAGTCTCCCTGGCCTCCACGCATCCTTTGTCAAAAGGAATTGAGCACGGGCTTGAAACGTCATTTTCAAAATTAATAAGGATGTGTCTGTCTGTCTATCTCTCTCTCTCTATCTCTCTCTCTCTCTCTCTCTCTATATATATATATATATATATATATATATGCGCATACATGCCTACTGTATGTATATATTCTCTCTCTGTCTCTCTCTCTTTCTATATATATATATATATGCATACATGCCTACTGTATGTATACAGAGATTCTCTCTCTGTCTCTCTCTCTCTCTCTCTCTCTATATATATATATATATATGCATACATGCCTATTGTATATATACAGAGATTCTCTCTCTCTATATATATATATATGCGCATACATGCCTACTGTATGTATACAGAGATTCTCTCTCTGTCTCTGTCTCTATATATATAGATATAGATGTATGCATACATGCCTACTGTATGTATACAGATTCTCTCTCTCTCTATCTTTATATATATATATATATATATATATATATGCATACATGCCTACTGTATGTATACAGATTCTCTCTCTCTCTCTCTATCTATATATATGCATACATGCCTACTGTATGTATACAGATTCTCTCTCTCTCTCTCTCTCTATATATATATATACATATGCATACATGCCTACTGTATGTATAGAGGGATATGCGCATTTTAAGAATCACTCTCCCACAGTTGAGCTGCTGTCACCTGGGGGTGGAATCTGGCAGCTGCTCCACCATCCATAAGCAGCCTTCCTTAGCTTGTTAGGACAGGACAGGAAGAACAGGGTTATGTGCATGGGAGTCTACTGCAGAGACTTCTTCCGCAAGCTTTGTAAGCTGGATTTTGGCTGTAAAGCAGAAATTAGCTGAAAAGTAGTTGATCCTTAATTGGGTCAAAATCCTAAAATCCCTTAAAGTAAGAGTTTTTGAAATTATGGTTTGACGTCAGGACTATCTCTGCTTCCCCTCCCAAGTCCACGCTGGCAAGGCTGATGAATTAGAAGAGCCAACCAACCAAAGGGCTGGGCCAGACCTAACTTGAAAATAGAAATAAAGCAGCCATTGGTCCTAAACTCAAACTTCACCAGGAAAAAGTCATTTCCCAAATATTTTAAAAAATATTATTTAGTTGTGGGTGGACACAATGCCTTTATTTTTATTTGTTTATTGTTATGTGGTGCTGAGGATCCAGCCTAGTGCCTCATCTGTGTTGGGTGAGCCTCTACCACTAAGCCACAACCCCAGCCCCATTTCCCATCTATTTTGACTTTGGCCAATAGCCTAGGACATTTCTTATTAAAATGTCAGCGTTCTTTGATCTTCAGGTCACAGATGAAAATCAGTCTGATCCCATTCTCTGTTTTCAAATCAGGAAACGTTTCATGAGTGCCTACAGATCTTCCCTGCCCTCAAGGAATGTGCAGCTAGCGGGAGGTGCCTGGGAACTGTGAATGGAAATAAAATGAGTAAGAGTTACGAGGCTCAAGTGGAAAGGCTGTTCTGTGGGGCAGGGTCAGAAAGAAAACTGCTGTCTGTGGAGAGGAGGGCCGGGAGCTCTCTCCTGGGCACATAGGCAACACAGCCAGGTCCTCCCAGAGAGAGTGATCTAGGTGCCACACGGTCCAACTTGTAGCTTACCATTAAAAACAACACAACCACCAACAAAATCCTCAAAGGGGGGGTGGTCTAGAATTTTAGTTACCAAAACCAAATGGAGGGTGCCCATAAAATCTGAAGGTCAATACTTGGCCACTTTTTTTGACCAATTAGAAGAGTTTTCATTTCTGAAGACTTAGCTGCTGCGACTGAGAAGTCAAAGCTGGGAGGATCTGGCACTGGGGAGTCTTTTTGTCACTCCAGTAACGAAAGACAAGACTGTCATCTTTGTTTGAGGCTGTGGTTACTGTAACTTTGCAGAACCTGACAACCTGTGCCCAGACACTCGAATCTGTATCATGATGAGGAGTATCAGTTTTTATGGTGACGCAGAAAACAATCTAAGCTGCAGCCCAAGTTGCAATTAACCGAGGCTCCTCCAGCTGCTGCTCAGCACAGCTGCCATCTCTCCACTGGGGGACAGCGGGTTCCATGTGGCAACAGCCCCCACGTGACCTTTACCTCAGTGCCACTGAATGCTTACCACCTCAGTGCCACACGCACTGAGAACTCTCCATGGAGCCACTGCTGCAGGCGGAGCGCTCCTCCCCGATCCTACAAACATGCTGGAATTCTCTACTTGGAAATAATCACCAGAATCAGTAACCACAAAACTCAGCCAAACCTTGCTGCTCCCTCAGCCTACCACCACCCCAGCTTTCCCTTCCTGGTCAAAAGCCTCCACACACCACCCATGCGGCCACCTGTGCCATACTTTGTAATCCATGAAGTACTTTTTCTGTTCTCAGTTTCTCTTCATTCATTGATGCTTCCATTTATTCATCCATTCCCTCATTCTTTCACTCACTCACTCACTCACTCACTCACTCATTCACTCATTCTTTGAACACACAGGAGTCTGGAATGTGCCGGCTCTGTGCCAGGTGTAGGGATGTGGAGGTGAACAGAGATTCCCTGTACTTTCCTTCAGAAAGTTGAGGGTTTCTGGATGGACTCTCCTGGAAATGCTGGCTTTTAAGAACCCATAGCCACCCTTTCCCAGGCTGGCAGAGATCCAGTGCACACTCCGGGAGGAGGGGAGGAACGGGAAGCCTTATCAGATTCATTTCCTTCAGGAACCTTTGAGAAGATGAGTCCATTGTATAAACAACTGGAAACAAACTAGAATGTAGTAAGGCCCATGATAAAAGTTCCAGCTGAATGACCTGTGAGTTAGGAAAAATATCAAGGCAGAAAAATAGAACTTTTCTAGCCGTAAGAACCAAGGACAGCCTTTTGGGTGAGGGGACACGTGAGCTGCCCCTCGTGATTACAAGGCGCTCCTGGCGCTCCTCCGGCTTGGCCTCAGTTGTCCCTTCTTCTTCCAGAGATTATTGAAAGTGTGGGAAGGGTCGGTGGCATTTTGTGGACATGAAAACCGAGTCCTGCAGGCCATCGTTTGTTTGGGGTCCCTCAAAGAACCAGCAGCGGCCTGCCCCCAGGATGCCCAGTCCCCATCCCTAGCCCACTGCCTCATCATCAGACGTAGCTGCCTGGTACAGACAGCGCACTCCGTGGGATAATTGCATTTTAATTGAACTGTCTGTACTACTCTGCTAACGCCTCTGCAGAGATGGGAGAATGTGTAGCTTGATAAATAATTTCTGCTAATAATTGCTTCCACATAAGGATGATGGATCTAACCCTGGGAAAGGTCCCACTGAAAAGCATGTGATCAGACTTGTAAACTTTTTTCTCATATTTCACAATTCGAGGTGGATGTGGACTGCCCAGTATGTTCTCCTGTCCAAAGTCAGTGCACCTGCCCGTGGGTGTGTGGGCGGCTTCCCTGTCTCCCTCGCCTGGCTTGGGGAGAGGAGGCTGTGGGTTCTCCTTTCCACCTTCCATGGAGAGAGCGCTGTCCGCCGTGCGTGCAGTGTGTCCGGAGGCACATGCTTTGCTCCTGGTGTTGCCCCAATCTGGGATCAGGGAGCCTGGGCTTGGCTTGGGCGTTCCATCTGCCGGACAGTCCTCCTGACTGGGAAACAGTCCGAGCTGCAGACTGCACAGCCACAGCTCACCTGACAGCAGGCCTGCCCTGGGCTTCACATCTTCTTCAACTGCCTCCTTAGGCTCTGAGAGGCAGGATGCCCTGGGTCAGCCCAGCTTCAGTCACATGGACCATGCGGTCCAGCTGGGTGCTCCAGGTCATCCCTGGAGAAGAGGTGAAATCCCTGAGCTCAGATTTTCTCAGCCAGAGGAAGAGGATATGAGCACTGCTTCCTGGGGCACTGGGAGGCATGAGTGGAAACACTTAGCGCAGCACCCAGCGCATGAGCAGTACCCTGTGCCATCTCCCCCCCATGACCACTCGTTCCACATCCCATCGTGCCTGTGTCTCTCATCCCCGCTTCTCCTACTGTGCGGTGGGTTGCTGATGTCTGACTACACTTGGGACTGACGCTGGGCTAGACTCAGGTGGTCCAGGGCTCACACAGCCCTGACAATGTATGATGGGCAGGAGGAGATAATGTGTCTCCACTGCTTTCGGTGGGTATTTTATTAAGCCCTGAAAACAGCACCTGTTTGCAACCACATCGCTGCAGGTTGAATTAATGGTGTCTAAAATATAGTATTCCTTTTCCTAGAAGGAAAATGCTGAAGAATGAAGTGGAACAGTGATTGGAAACCCATGTGTTTCCCATTTGTTCTGTACAACTGTGCGTAGAGCCTAAAATCGAATCTTAGCTCTTAGGCACCCCCCCCCATTAGGGAGTGTCTGTGCCACCTCCCAGGTGACTGGAGGTGATGTGTGGGTACCTGAGCTCCTCCCACCAAGAGGAGGTGTGAGCCTCAGGCTGTGGGGTGACAAGGGTCCCAAATCGAGAAAATCCTTTGTGTGTAGACACCCCCCAGCCCTGCCCTGTGGAACTCACAGGCTTAGAGCAGATGAGACTGAAGTGGAGCTGGAGAGGCTCAGAAGATGGGAGCAGTGGTGACAAATGACTAGCACTAGGCTGCAGGGGAGTTTTGTTGTCGACCTCCAGTTCCTCCATTCCAGTGCCACCCTCTGAAAGAGGGGATCTGGGTCTGGGCCATGTGTGTGTGGATCATGACTTCCGGGTGATTTGAAAGGCATTGCTATGGTGGGGAACCACGTCTTCACCTTGGTAAGGTGGAAGCTTCCTTATCCTCCTATTTTCCTTTTTAGTTCACCTTCTTGTGCTTTCTCGACAGTTCGCAAAGGTTACCGGATCCAAGCCGACAAAGAGAGAGACTCCATGAAGGTCCTGTACTATGTGGAGAAGGAGCTGGCTCAGTTTGACCCAGCCAGAAGGATGCGAGGCAGATGTGAGCATCTGTTGGTTTTCTGTGCTCTGCGTCACACAGGACTGAGTGGCTGTTCCGGCAGCGACGGGGCCTGCAGAGCCACGGCTATTGGGGTGCTGGCAGCAAAGGGAGCACAGGGGCTTCTGGGGTGAAGAGCAGGGCAGTCACGCACCCTTGGTTTATGTTGGGTGTCTCCAGGGCTCAGCCAGTATTGAACACCTGGCTTCCTTACCCTAGGGTGAGAAGGAGTTATTCAACCCCGTCCCCAGTGTCATATGCAGAGCAAGGACAGCGTCTGGAGCCTCAGCGACAGTTCTCTTCCAGCATGAGGGGCCCAGCCTTGAAGGGAGCCTCCCACTCACCTCGTGAGAGTCAGAGGAGCCTGACACAGTGACTCTGGGAAAGGGAGCTGCCATCCCCCAGGCCCCACGTGGCCACTGAGGGCTGGGAGGAGGCTGCTCCTCTCCTCAGAGAACTTGTAATTACCAAGTCTGGAGACGGTGGGGCCCCAGCCTAACTTACGCACAGCCCTTGGAGACTCGCAGCTGACAGAGCTGATTCTTTGGGGTAGATTCCAAATGACTGTCTGTCTTGGGATGCAGAACAGAGCAGGCCGAGGGGGATGGCTGGTTACCAGAGGGTGCTGGCAGGCATGGCAGTGGGTCACGACGCGCTTTCTTTGAACCCTCCTCTTCTTGGAACCAAAGACAGACTTGATGGAATTGTTGGGGAAACAGTCCCAGACTACAGGAGCTTTATTCAGATTAAGGACAACATATTCCACCCAGTTTGCAATTCTAAATCCAGCCGTCTGCTGTAGCCCTTGCTGCACCCTCCCACCTAGCGGACTATAAAAAGACCATCTCCAGATTGGAATGTCAGGAATGCAGATGTCACTGCACTTGACAAACTAGTGGTAGCAGTGTTGTCATGGATCCCTGTAAGGGGCAGACAGAGTTGGAATCCAGAAGCCTGGGCAGGAAATCTGTGCATCTCACAGCTCAGAGAAAAAGTTAACAATTAAGATTAAAACTAAAGAATGGATTCTCGTCTAGGTGGTGACTCCCCTGTCTGATTGACCCAGGTGGTCTCCAGGGGCCAGCCGGTCATAAGGTAGTGGAAACTCAGAGTTACTGGGGACTTTAGGGACTGCCTGGCCAACCTTTGCAGTGTAACCATGAGGAAACAGAAGGCCAGGGGGACAGTGACAGAAGCAGGGTGGAACCCAGCTCTTCTGAGTCCCAATCTTGTGATCTTTACCAAAGAAGCTTGTGAGCTGTAGTTTCTGTGGTGACCACAGCCTCCTCGTTCCGAGGGCTCCAGACTGCTGCGACTGGAAAGGACTCTGAGGTTGTTGGATCCGGAGGAGGACAGTGAGGCAAAGAGGAAAAGTGGCCAGCACCAGTACTCAGGGCCCGGGGGGACGGGAGCCCAGATCACTGGAAGCTGCACGTTGACATTATAGTAAATGCATGGAGGTGAAGTGTTTCTGAAGAGCAAAGTCAACCCTAGGGTGGGTCCCAGAATGGGCCCCTCCTGGAGGTCCTGCTGTAACATGGATCTCATGGTTTCAGGTTAAGCAGGGAGTCAGACTGGGAGTCTGAGGCTCAGGTCTAGGCAGTATGGTCCTTATTTGCCTTGACCTTACGAGTGGTAGGTTGCTCCTGGGATGTTTCAAGTCCGAACATTGTAGAGCAGGAGTCAGCAAACAATATCCCCTGCTCCAAAGATGTCCCAGCTTCTGTTTCTGTAAACAGAGTCTTACTGGAACAGCCATGCCACGTCACTTACATATACTCTTTGGCTGCCTTCCTGTAGGATGGTGGAATTGAGTGGTTGTCACACTGTGGCTCACAAACCCAGCCCTTCACAGTTTGCCTACCTCTCCTTAGAGCTACCTCAGTGGCTGTCTCTGAAGTGGGGATGCTGACGTCTGTGCTCAGTGGCAGCAATTTTAGTGTAATGCACATCCTGGACAGTTTGTTCTATGAGTAGGGAAACAGGGATAGCGCCCACTCCCTGAGGGATGAAAAAGGTCATGTTTCCTGAAATTTAAGGAAAGGTCTGAGCCAACAGCATGACTTTACAGAGGTCTCATTTAAATTTCTTTTCTGTCTAGTTCCTAGGAAATTGGAATTCATAGGAATCATAAGAAGGAATATTCTAGAATTGATTAATCAAAAGTATCTCAGTTATTTTCCTTTAAAATAAGCAGAAACTTAGAGAAAAGTTTCTTGAGAGGTAGAAAACAATTAAAAATCAGATTATAATTCAAAACCAACTGATCATGTGATGAAACCTAATGGCATTCAAGGTAAAGGCTGGTTTCCTGGCGAGCAGGGGCCAGGAGGTTTGGTGTCGGGGAGGGCCTGTCGCAGTGCTAGGCAGAATTCTCTGTTCTTCCCAGGACTGTTGGAGCTCAGAGGGGAAAATCAGAGGGAACCTGAGACACATTGTGCTTCCCACATCTTATCTTGGCTTACCTCTTGCTCAACAGCCAGGCTTTAAACCTAGTAAATATTGCTTTTAATAATATTTTCAAAGTCCTAATGAAAAGATTTTAGAAAACAAATGGATTCTGTTACATTACAAATAGGTTCACTCAATTTATTTTTTTAAATAAAATGAAATTCAGTCCATTTCAAAGCTCTATAAACAGCAGCACCCTCCCTCCCCAGCCCCCCCCCTTTAATTTCCCAACTGTGGCTCTGATCCTTTTTTTGCAAGTGCTTTGCAAGAAGCCCCTTAGGGAAGGAGGGAGCTGTGATTAGACACACACCTCACATATTAGCTCAGATGGAGGCCCACAGGCCGCAGGCACTCCCTGTCCTCCTCACACCTCCAAACAGCAGCTTGCCCATGGCAGCCACACACTTGGAATGCTCCTGGGCCACGGGAAGAAGTCTCTCCAGGCCTGGAGAGCGGATTTGGTGCCACTTGGGTGAGTGTGGTCTAAAGGTATGGATGCTGGCATGCACTCCCCCTGACCTCGTGGGCTTCTTGCTTCGTGGGGAAGGGCTCAGTGGAAAGCGGACAGAAGAGCAGTCCTCGAAGGCCTGTGGCAATATTGGCTCTGGAGGCCCCATCTTGGCCCTGGTCAACAGCAGGGAAGATGCTGTCAGATGTGCTTCTCTCTCTCGTTGTCCCTTTTGGTCCAACACACCTGGGATTATCACAGCTCACCAAATAATTATACAGGAAAAAGAAAAATACATGGATGATGATGTGCCAGGCCAGCTGCAGGGAGCCTGAGTTCTGGGAAGCTAGCCTTGGGAACAAAAACAATTGTTCTGCTGTTCCAAGAAGAGGCAGGACTCCTCCCTCTAAGTAAGCAGGTAGGCTTCCCAAGGGAGCCAGTTCCTGCTGCCAAAAACACAGATACCACCTGCAGGTGAAGAGCCCACCCTTGACAGGCCTGACGCCCCCAGCCGCGAGTTTGTGGAGCCTCTGGTCTCAGCCCTTCCCACCTAACACGGGGAAATCTCTGTCCCTGCAGATAACAACACCATCTCAGAACTCAGCTCCCTGCATGAAGAGGACAGCAGCTTCCGCCAGTCTTACCATCAGATGAGGAGCAAGCAATTCCCCGTGTCTGGGGACCTGGAGAGCAATCCTGACTACTGGTCGGGTGTCATGGGAAGCAGCAGTGGGGCCAGCAGGGGACCCTCAGCCCTGGAGTATAACAAAGAGGATCGGGAGAGCTTCCGGCACAGGTGATGGCCGCCAGGGGGCTGAGCAGAAGCAGGTAGAACTGAGATTGTTGCTAAACAGCACCGTCCCTCCTTCTGGGTCTCTTTCCATCCTGTGGGGAGCTTCCCTCTCTCACATTTATTAATCAAGGGGACCTTAGGACTCTTGAAGGGACTGCATAGAAGTAATCATTCCAGGCCTTTTGAAAATGTGAACTCTGGGCTCCTTAATGAACCTTCACGTATCTCTGCCCCGATACATTTTATCCTATAACCTCTGAAAACTCCCATCATCTCCATCGTTTTTGATCATTTGTTACCTGAAAGGTAAAACGCCAACGCTTTATAATGTTGCACTTAATTCCCATGACTCACGGGCAGCCACCTGTAATATACCATTTTAAGTTGGGAAGGCAAATTTCCAGAAGCTAAGGCACTTACCAGCCTGATAAGACCAAGCATAGGGAGGCTGAGTCTACCCAGTTCCCGGATGCGTCCCCATGAATGGCACTTACTGCCTTTACCTTCAAGGACAGTCGACATCGCCTCTCACTCTCACCAACTGCAGGGGTCCCTCTGCCCAAGAGGTAACTTGGCCCTTGGCTGGAGGGCGAAACAGGCCGCTCAGTGTGCCCCCAAACTGCAGAGGCTCCTGGGGCCCCAGCCGTGCGCGCTGCCGCTGGCTGGGGCGTAGAGCGGGTGGCGTGAGACGGAGACGCGTGGCCGACCAGGGCTCATCATAACGATCAGAAGGAGTGTTTGGGCCCTCGCTGGACAGCGGGAGGTGCCCAGGAGCCGGTGCGCTTCCAGGCCAGCCCCAGCCCGCACGGGCTGCGGTTCTGCCCACTGACCCACCACTCCTCTGTCCGCAGCCAGCAGCGCTCCAAGTCCGAGATGCTGTCGCGGAAGAACTTCGCCCCCGGGGTGCCCGCAGTCTCCATGGACGAACTGGCGGCCTTCGCCGACTCCTAC